CCAAAACATACATATCTCTGCTGACATTAATAGCTAGAATCCCACATTGAGAAGACAGAAAAGCTGGCGAGGACAGAGACCATACAGAAAGCGTCTGCAGAGAACAAATATGTACCACAAGAAATGTTATCAAAGTGGGGAACACCGCAATACATCCAGAATAGGTATGCTCTTTACCCAGAACTACAGAAAACTGAAAAGGGTGGAATATAATACAAGTATGATGGTCCAGCCCCGACCAAGCAGCCAAGGTTCCACAACTTGGGTTGGATTTAAGGGGTCATGGTATCCATATCCCACATCGGTGGCCAAGGCAGTTGGACTGCAGATATATATATATATATATATATATCTTTGTGATAGTATTCCTACCAATAACCACAGAATGATGCATTTCAAACCACCAGATTTATGAAAGAAAGAAAGCAACACCAAAATGGACAATCCTTCTGATCAACCTGATGAAGTCCAAAAGGCAACATCCCAGACCTGGATTGATGGGATCATATTTTATACTCCACCAAAGTCAAGAACTCGTCCAGTCTGGATTTACAAACAGTTGTCTTTACTCCTTCACCAAGTGGGCAAGGTGAATTCCATTTACCATTGGAATTAAGAAGAGGATGTGGAACACTGTCCCACCAAGGACCAAAGATGGGACCACGTTGCATTCGATTTACGAGGAGATAGTGGACCCCCCTGCATGAACAACATAAGACCTGACAATGTTCATAAGAGGGTCCAAGCACCTCCCACCGGATAGCTAAGCATCAAATCAGAACTGGTTTATCGAGTATGCTCCCACGTAGGTTGGTCTTGCTCCTACTGACATCTGGGAAAAAAACTTCCAGGGACCCAGGTAGGAGTGTTCCCAACTTTGCCCTCTTCTCCGAGAATGGAGAAAACTGAACACTCCAAAGGTAAATCGTCTGTCCACCACCCCAGAAAGGTCGAGCCAAGAGGAAAGAAGAGAAGCATCACATTCTGTCATACCTTGTCTCCTAGCAAGGGACCTGACAAAAGGCATGCGTGAAGCTGAAGGGAAACCAAGGCTGAGCTGGCTAAAACAGATCCACCAAAAGAACTCAACACAAAGAGGTGTTGATGAGGGAGATAACTTTGGGGAAGAGATGCATAGGTGGGAAGGCAATAAGCATCTTACCAAGAGATTGGCAATCCTTAGCACAACCAAAACCCTTATTTATAGGTTACAAAAGCTGTTAGGATTACAAGGCATGCAAGGCAATGAGACATGTCATCATGCTGATTCTATGCAAGAAAGTCACACAGTTATGGACAACAGCATTCCAAGGCATCAAGAAGAACTGGGAGAAACAGTGCCATTCTCTAGAAAACTTCAAGCAAATATATACTAAAAATGAGTGACTCAGGGGCATGAAGTACAACACCTGAATCCAAGTTCAGTAGTCCAGTGTTCACTGTAGTAAAACACTTGACAGGAGAGTAGCTTGGTGACTGGAGTACAACTGTAGTCAAACTAAAGTGATGTTTCCACCTCACAGAGAACCATGCAATCACGGGATCACATCCAAGGATCAAAGTACAAAGTTCATGAGACATTGGCCACTTATGCAAATGATCCCAATACCTGCATAGGAAAACATATCTCAATATGACATTAAGATATCAAGGAAGAGAAATTCTTTAATGTGCAAATCCATGAAGCACTAAATGGATATCTCAAGGACATTGTGTCCTCAAATTAACTCATTGTTGGTGCAACAAGATTCATAGTAGTCATATCCAATAAGTTGCCAGGAAAGAGAAATATGCTTTAGAGGCAGCCATATCTCACTAAGCTTTAAACACTTGATCTACTGCTGCAAGCAATGCCAGGTATTATGGATAGCCACACTGGTTACCAGTAAATAATCAGTGCCATCCAGGTGCTATAGCATTGGTAACATACACTACATCTGCAGTAGTCAAATCCCTAAATAACAAGGATGGAGTATGTTTTAATCTTCAGCTGTTTGATCATTTGGTAAAAACTGTCCATATCCTACTACACAACAGGAAATATGATAGGTTTATTTTCATCCAATTGCCAAGCAGCAGCAAGGCAGCCAACAATGAGCAGAAGTTATGTCTGCTCTAGCTAGTTGAATTGTGTGGAACTTGGGATGGTTCTGGTAGTAAACTCAAGCAGGTGGCAACAATTAACTGTTTCTGGCAGATTGAAGTATAAACAGCACATGATGGTATGGTTAAATATGAAATGCATGTTGCTTAGTTTGTGAAATCTTAAACACAGCCATAGTAAATGTGCTAGTTATTACATATTGTTACAATCATATATTCAAGAAAGATGTTTCTTTAAACTTAAGCCACGTGTGTGTGTGTGTGTGTGTATAACATGTATGTGTGTGTGTGTGTGTGTAAATCTTTATGTGAAGTTATATTTTAAAAGATACTAGTTTTGCATAGGAAGACTTTAAAGACACGTGTAATACTATTGCTCTTATTTACATTTATATAACATGTACACACACACAGGTTTCAAGAAACTTACCTTCTTTACACGCAGCAACAATAAAATAGGGAATCTTGCTAGAGGTAAAAGTTGGGTCGCAGCTGCATACTCCATTAGAACAAGTAATGTAGAGAGCCATACAATCTCTATCTGATGAACATGCTGTTCCTATAAATTCTATCACAAAAGAAATTCAAGTACATTGAGATTATTCAATTTTCTATACAAAACGTTTTAGCACAAAGTTAAACATTGGGCCATCTGCGCTCTGTGCATCATGGAGAATTGAATCCCTGATTTTGGTGTTGTAAGTCCATCAACTTACTGTTGACCCACTGGGGAATTTTATATTACTTTTTTAAACTAAATTTGTGCTTACAGTACTTATGAAATAGTTAATACAAAAAACAATGGTTGTGGGAGAGCTTGCATGTAATAGCTCACACTTGTTAACTAAGGAAACTATAAAGTGTTATATTGTTCTAGATGCAATTATCTCACAACAATGATTTATATATTAAATTTTTACTTTTAATCTAATAAAAAAGTAGAGAATATACGAGGTCTAAAATAATGTTCTTGGGGTTTGTGGTGCAAAGTTGTGTTATAAATTATACAATTCTTGCTGGTAAACTTAGGCATAAAACTGAAATGATTAAATTTTAGCACAATAATTTTCAATGACTTTCTAAAGGAAGTCTTTTTATGGTAAATATGATACTAGACATAACATTATATCTGTGCATTTTGTTTTAATTTCAAAATACTAATTTCAATACTTCTAAATTAGCAATGAAGAAAATTATGGTAATTTTCCGGAATTTTAGATTAGTAGCTGTGTGAAGGTGCCTATTTCTAGTGTTTTGGAATTCATATTACACCAAAAAGTTTGCTAGAAAATGCAATAAAATATAAATTTATAGAAATTGTTGCATTAAGAACAATAAGTCTTTAAAATTTTGTCACTGAAAATAACACATTTACTGCTGGCAAGATTCTCCTAAAGGGAAACTAGTTTGGGTGAAATTCCTTCAAAGACAAAATAATGCAGGAAGGAAGCTCTTTTGAGGTCAACTGAGTACCTTGAAACATGGGTTAAAGTGTCAACGAAACATATGGTAATATAAACTACATCAGTAAGAGCCTTAGCTGAGGAATACTGCGAGGTAAAAAAGTTAACATTTTCCTCACCTGAAATTGTGTTTCAGGTAGACACCTTTATAACAGAGCCTTCCACCCTTCCTCTCCACTTCTGGTGTGTTTCTTTTGCCTCATCAAGAATGAGCCTTTGTTAATACATGAGGTGCTCATGGGGATCTACTACACTTGGAGGATGTGTCATCCTCTTATTGGTGGAGAACAATTGTCTAATGTTAACATTTATAGATATATGTTTGTTTGTTTTGCATTTCGTGCAAAGCTACACGAGGGATATCTACGCTAGCCATCTCTAATTTAGCAGTGAAAGACTAGAGGGAATGCAGCTAGTCATCACCACCTACTGCCAACTGTTGGGTTATTTTTTTACCAATAAATAGTGGGATTGACCATCACATTATAACACCCCCACAGCTGAAAGAGCGAGCATCTTTGGTGGGACACGGGTTCAAACCAACGACCCTCAGATATAGATATTTAAAAAGATAGCTCTCTCTTTGTATAAATCATTAGTTAGACTTCACTAGGAATACTTTGTACACATTTGATCTCTTTATATAGCAAAGGATATTGATTTACTGGAAAGAGTTCAGAGGAAAACTACTAGGATGACGGCACTACAGAAGAGATGCTGAAGAGACATGCTGAATCAGGGTAAGAGACAAAGAAACTGAAGCTCAAAGAAAGAAGAATCATTATTATTAAACACCACAGAATAAAACTGTCAAGGTCTTGGGGGAACAAGGCAACTGGGATTCGATATGAAGTGCAAAGAAAATAGTATCTGTAGAAACACAAAGACCAGGAAAGAGGGAAAGAGAAGATAGTCAATAGGAGAAGAAGACTCATGCAGCATGGTAGCCCAAAATTCAGCAAAAAATAATGGAGAAAGAATGTCACGTTCTTGTGTAATCAAAGCAGCAAAGAATAAAGTCTAATGCTAACTGCATCATATACAATAAAGTACACATTATTAAATGTATGGGTTGAAGTTTACTTCAAGGCTTGGCACATGTGCAAAAAATCTTTTTATAAGTAGTATGAAATAATAGCTATTGGTTCTTTGTAGAAGTAAGTAGCATTTCTGAAGCAGAGCCTATGTACATTCTATTGACAAATGCACAAAAATTTGTTGACAGCATGAGAGCAACTTCACAAGGAAAGGCTTTTAGTATTTCAGAGATAAGTCTACATGATTTGAAAGACATTTTTCTGGTATAAGACCTGTTTAATAATTGACTAGTTCATGTTTAATGTTTTTACCTTAAACCTAAAAAAAGAAAACAAGATTACTTACACTTTTTTTTTTTGAAATAAAGATTATTCAAAAGTAGAATATATAATAAACAAAGGAAATAAGTCAAATTAAGGAAAAAAAAAATTAATACAAAATAAATGAAAATCATATCTCACTATAAATGATTAATCAACTTAATTAGGAAAACATTAAAATTATAAAAAAAAAGCTATGATAAACTTTTATGATTCACTGTTTCTGAACTGTTCAAACAAGATAAATGACACTTAAATTTTTGGAGATTTTAGGTATAAACAGGATAAACAATTCAAATGTTTTACTTTTAAAAATGAAAAAAGTTGATACGTACTCTGACCTAATTCAGATGCTTCGGTTCTAGAAAACTGAGAAAAACACCACATGACACAACAGATAAGAAGCAACAACAATCTGACATCTTTCTTAGAGCCAGTCACCATGGTCTTGCTGAAATTCATTTTGTGAACTCTGTGAAAAATGGAACAGTAACAACTTACAACATTTATGTATAAACAAACATATTTTTAAAATCATAGAGCAACAGAGATGTCACAGTCATATTGAAAATGCCTACTCTATAACTTACAGAAAGGAAAAAAAACTTCTGTCAAACAGATGATATTAATAGAGAAAAGAAAATTCAAACCACTGCTTAAGTACATAATGAAATTTTAAAAACTACTACCTCTAAGTACATAGTGTGGCAAGAAGAGTTTTAAACTCGTGAAAATAAAATGAGTTAGAGATGGATATTATGAACTTCCCTTCTGAACTAGTACGTTTATTCTATTAGATCATTGTGCCGCTTTAAACAATTTGAAATATTTCAGCACAGCAAGGCCCTTTGTGTAATTTATTATTTGTAATGAGGAAATCATTAGCATAAGTTACATATTATTAATATTTGAAACCAAATTCATATCTTTTTCATTTATAAACATTAGTGTGTTTACAACCATTGTCTTTAAAGATACAGTTATTGTTTATTTTATTCATTTTTAGAAAGTCCTTGATAAATGTAAAATTCCCTACAAACAGACTTTTAGCCAGCAACCTGTCTTTCTTATGGAAAGTTGTCAATTAAAATGGGGAAAACTTGAATAGACAGATGATAAGACAAGCAAAAATATTAAATTAATTTCAGTACAACAAAAGTATGTTCCTCAAGAACACAGAAAATGGAAATTATCTTAGTCCTATACAACTTAATAAAATATTTGGTTCCTACTGTTCTTCTCTTATGTATTGTTTACAAGTATTAATGTCAATCAGTACTTTAACTGTATGTACTTAAGCATTTATGGTATTAAATGGTATTCCAACCACGATTGAATTAAACATTAATTTCAAAGTTGAACTGAAATTGAACTTTACTTACAAAATGACTTAAAATGATAATTTTTGAATAGGAAATTTAATCTTATCTGGATTGGAGAGTTGTCACTGTTGGAATTACTTAACCAACTTCCATGAAACTTTGTAAAGACTTCCTAAATAGCATCTAGGTTTGGCTTAAAAACATTCATATAATTTGAATCAGTATTCCTGTCATTTTTTTAGGTTGTGAAATGTTCATGTTATTATGAGACAATGTTATGAATAAACATTAAAACTACTTCTTTTCATTTGAGCATTACAATTTTTCTTATCATGAATCAAAACATTCCATTTTATATATCCAGTCAGTTTCAATTAGATTGATATTAATTAACATTTTTCTTTTCATACTGTATTTTACCAATTACAGTAGTCACCATTTCTGACTATAAATCGCAAAAACAAATAAAAAACTGACAAAGATTTATTAATTACTCTGGACCTCTCTTTTAAAATTGCATCATATATTACTTTTGTCAGGAAAGGTATAAATCTTTTTGCTAACAATAATATTGGTTAAGATAAATTATATTTAACAACAATCTTGGTGAAGATAATTTATATCTAACAATTATAGCTTCCTGTCAATAAATTATAAAAACATTATCTATGTACATTGTTTGAATACAATAAACTTCAAAATAACATTCAATACACAGCAACTTGAGTCATCAGAATCATTTTCCATTGCCTACCAATTATAAGACTAAGTTATAGACAAGTCAACATTCAAAATTTCCCCTTAAAGATGGAAGTAACATTTTTTGAACCAGAAAAGTAGGATAGTCAACCTGGTTTCATCAAGGGAAAATTTTGCTTTCATAATCCTTTGAAGAGATTACTGCTTATGTAGATGAGAGTACAAGTGTGGATATGGTGTATCTGGATTTTCAGGAAGCATTTGACAACAATCTTGATAGCTATAGGGGTAAGTTGGCTCATTGGATAGAAAGGAGATGAGATGGAAGAAGGTAGAGAGTTCAGTCAAACTGGATTACTTTCACAAGCAGGGTACCTAAAAGTTGTTTTTGATTGACATCAATGACATAAATGAAGCAATGATCAATAAGGTACTTAAACTTGCTAATGATATTAAGGTCTTGGATGTGACTGGCTGTGAGAAAGATACTGCTGCTCAACAAAAAATGGCAGATGGCTTTTAATTATAATAAATGCAAGATAATGTGTAGGGGTTATTAGAAATTGAATTATACATACAAGTTTTCTGGTTCATCAATCTCTTTGGCAAACCAAGCAGTGTGCTGTTATAGAGGCAGGGCAAATAGGATTTCAGGTTGCATCTGCAAAAAATACTGAATACAAGTCCAAAAGAGGTTATAATGTCACCATATGGGTCACTGGTTAGACCACATTTGGAGTATTTTCTTCAGCTTAGCTTAGTTTTCACTTGTTATATAAGGTTTAGAGAAGGAGTACTAGGATAATACATAGGATGAAGACGTTTTCATACAAGGTCAGGTTAAGATCTCTGAAATGATTTTCTCTTGAAAAAAGAAGAGTTAGAGAGGATCTGATTAAAGTGTTTAAAATTTTTATCGGAATTGAAACTGATGCATCGTTGATGCTGGATTTGCTGCTTAGCATGTGAATATCACTTTTCCAGTGTTTATGAACTGTCTTTATGTGTTAACAAACAGTTTCCAGTATTATTCAATGTGGTCTTATTGAGCTAGACAAGGCTATTGTAGATGACCTGGTCACCATGTTACAGAAGTAGATCATTATAGGTGGTTGGTCTTTGGAATGGGTTGCCTTCGGATGTGATTAGTCCAGTAAATTTAAGGGAGTTTAAAGGAAGGTCTGTTCTCACTTTATATAAACCATTATTTAGACCTCACTAGCAATACTGTGTACACATTTGGTCTCTTTATATAAGAAAGGATATCGACTTACTGGAAAGATTCCAGAGGAAAATTACTAGGATGAGGGCACTACAGAAGAGTGAAGACATTTGAAACTAAACTTTTGAAGTTTTTGGAATATGTCATTTAATTTCTGAAGATGTTAAGGTTTTGGGTGCTGCTGACTGTGATGAGAATGCTTATACTTTACAAAAAGAATTTATATGAGGTGAGTTGGGCAAATAAACAGCAGATGACTTTCAACTATAAAAATGCAAGGTAATGCATGCAAGATATGATTTTGATGGGAATAACCTTACTGTTATAGAAGAAAATGATGTTAATGTTCTGGAGAATTAGTCTCTTAAACCATTCAAGCAACATGCAGGTGGTAGTGGTAGGCCAACTAGGGTTTTAGGTATATCTATAGAAATATTTAATACAAGATTATCGATCTTATAGTTTCATTGGCCTAATTTGGAGTATTGTGTTTAGTCCCAAACCAAATCATTTCCTGAGAAAGGGCATTGAATTGTTGGAAAGGGTTCAGAGGAGGGCTACTGGGATGTAAAGGTTCATACAAAGACAAATTAGGATCTACAAAATTATTCTATCTCAAAAGCAAAAAAAGTTAGAGGAGATCTTATTGACATGTTTAAGATTGTTAAGGTGACTGATTGTGCCGTATGTAATGGTGAGAATGGTAGGATTAAGAAACATAAATAAACATTTTTAGCAGGATTAGAGTCATCTTCAGTTAAAATAATTTATTCTTTTAACAGGGTGTGGTTGGCCTCTGGAATGGGTTACCTTCATATGTGGTAGATGCAGTAAATTCAAATAACTTTAAGGGAAGGTTTGATAAACATTCAAATTAAAAGGGCTTTTTTTTTTTTTTAGTTTAGTGAGTGGGACAGCCGAGATAGATAAACAGGTTCCCCGTTGTTCTTAAATTATATATTATATTATCTTATAGGGATAGGTTAAGAGCTCTTAATTTCTCATGAGAAACAAAGAGTAAGAAATAATCTTATTAAAATTTACAAGATTATCCAGGAATCAATAAAATAAAGGCCTCTAATATCTTTGAATTTGTACTACATTCTAAAGATAACAGGATTAGAGGACACAAGCTTATGACTGAAAAAAAGACAGGCTAGGCTCCAGTTAAAATAATTTTGTTTTTCGAACTGTGTGGTTGGAGTTACAGAATGAATTTCTGTTGGTAGTAATGGAAGTATGCACTTTACAAGAGATTAAAAAAAATCAATCATTTTCTCAAGAGCATGTGTGCAGGGACAATCTTAAAAGACAAAATGATCTCTTGTTATCTGTATATTAATCTAGTTACCTAGCCTATCTTCTGACCCCCAAAATATGCAATCTCCCCAAGCAATACTTTATGTGGAACCTTATCAAAAGCCTTCTGAAAGTTCAAGTATATCAAATCTACTGCATTCCCATATCAAAATTAAATCTTTTCAAAGTTTATAAGACCCAAACTTTCCTTTCTTGTGTAAATAAACATTTAGAATTTATTCAGTTACACACTCTTAATTATCTCTCATGTACTGAAGTAATAATAACTGATTGGTAATTAGTTAATCTTCAGTCTTCTGGCACTTCATCATTATTAATTTATTTATTAAAAATTAGGGATAGTGATTGATAAATCTATTATTCTGTTTCATTCATTACCCTAGGATAAATATTATCTGCCCAATGTACCTTATCTTCTTTTATTTTTATCTTGAATCTTACAACTTAACATTCATATATCTATCCTACAAAAATTTAAAGGTTCCAAACTAACTGCATAATCCACATCAAATCATTTTACAAGTTTTCAACTCTTACCAAGATATAAAAACTTGTGTCAAAATGAGAAGTATGTATACATGCTTCCAATGCTTAAAACATTTACTTCTAATATTCCAGTTAATATTTTCAATCTTACAAACAAACAACTCACAGCATGACTTCCCAATACCCTAAGAATTCTTAATAAATGAATTAAGAACAAAAAGAGTACAAGTAATAATAGCCACAATTATGGTGGCAACAGTAAAAATGGCCCCAATGACGACAGCAACAGTAAAAATGCAAAGTGAGAAAAAAGCATTCTTTCTTACAATAATAATAAAAAAAAATAAGCTAGACAGTATGTTTATGGCTTTACATTAAATAAATATTTTTACATCGTTGCATTATCATTATTACTGTTATTTTTATCAGATACAAAATCAAGGCCTCCTTCTCACTCTTTCTGCACTCCAGAGAAAAAAGTCCAAAATTCTCATGCCTCTTCTTGTAGCTTAAAATTATAAATGTTTTACATCAGATAATATTCAAGTTGCTGTATCTGTGTTGTTTCCAACATCCTTACATCTTTCTTGTAATATGGGACTAAAAATTTAACACATTACTTCAAAGGAGGATAATCAGATGCCTGGTAGAAAGTGCAAATGAGCATCTTTCTTTCAGTTTCTATTAGCTACAGACCACAACCAACACACTCTTTACATTTCTTTTGATCTCAGCAGTACATCTTCACTCAAAATAGTATTAACTGATAAAATACAAAGGGCATCAAGACATGTTTATTTTTACAGAACAAATATGGTACGACTTAATACAAAATAATTTCACGAAGTATGGAAATATTAAGTTAACTTGTGTTTCTTAGAAAGTTGAAATAATAGAAATAAGCAATTACAGGATAAACTAAACAAGCTTTTTCTTCATGCACAAATGATGACAATAAATTTAAATAGCAAATTTTAACAGGTGTAAACTGAAGCCCTTCAAAATTTAAAAACTGCATGAAAAGCACAACAATTAACGTGCATATGAAAACAAGTCACATCTTTTCATAATATATTCAAAAATAACATAATTAAGAAATATGTGCCTTGTGCTACTTTTACCGTTCTTCATCTTTCATTTAGTTCACTTCATTAAGGATCTATGGAATTCAAATGAACGAAACTTATTGGAAACTGAAACACATGCTTAGCCCCAGATAACAACGTTTCTAACAACACTCACCAAATCTAAGTAAATTATAATCAATAAACAATGTACACCTAGGATCCCATTCCCAACCGATCTCCTAAATTAACTTGTTGCCCCTTAAATTTAAAAGTTATATTTCTGAGGCCAAATTCCAAGTTAAAATTATACTTATATTATTCATTAGTAAATTATTAAACTTAAATATTAATTATTATGATTATTATCATAGTACCGTCAGTGGCATTATATATATATTTGCAAAAAAAATTACAAATTCGGCGTGACTTCGAAAACGCATCAAATTGAAACTAGCTTTTCCCACATCTTACCTAACAAAGTTTTATGAATGTCATAATGTTTTAACTCTCATGAAATTAAAAAGAAGTGTTATTATTACTATAAGATACATATGTTATCAACAATCTCATCATTACCTTAACGTTTAGAAAAGTCTTGCACAATGACTTCGATCCACCTGCACTGAGGAAACTCTAGTATTGAAGACTCAGTGTTGATGTTTGAGACATTTGGTTGTAACATATGACGTCATTCGCGTATATACTACTGTTTCTCAAGTCTCAATGATTTAACTCTTTATACCTGGGGATGCTTTTCGAACACATTCATAGCAAATCAAACCGTTACGGTAGAAAGGTTTCACATTCGTGATTACTGTTTACCCGATACATTTCCTTATAATACTTTAAGTTTAAAATTATGAAATTTGCAGGTATATTAGAAATGAGTATGATATACTTACTAAAAATCATAGGAATATTTTGTTGTTGTTTTTCTTTATGGATACTAACATTTAAATTTAAAATTAAAGTAACAGTTTGAAAACTTCATACTTAGAACCGTCAGGTAGTTTGGATAGTTTTTATAATCTAATAAACTTTTGGTCTAGCCGTCTCTAATTTGAATGTGATATATTACAAAAAAGACTACTCTTATTAGACCGAATTGAGGGGGGGGGGGCTTGACTATCTCTAATAACACAAACAAGGCCTAAAAATGTAGAATGTGTTTTCGCCGATAATGAAACGAGAAACCACGGAATTTCAGTTCCACAGTCGGACACGCTACCCATTGGGCCGCACTTGGCACCGAAAAGGATAGGGAAGATTTGAGACCAGTATAACTGTATTTTCGGATTTTCTGCAGAAATAGAAGTGTCAAAATATCCGGACAAATAAAAAATGTTTTCACTCATTAAAATGACCGATTCAGTTTATTTAATTCTGTTATTTTTTATGTGTTTTCAATTCTTCATGACACTTCTGTCAAATATGTAAACACACACATGTATATGTGTGTGTGTTGTATTTCAAGTTTATCAGAAGCAAATGAGGAGGATGAAATCAAATTGTAAGTTTATTCGCATTGTTACGTCTCTGGTCGTGTTTTAATTACTCGTAAAAATTCTTTCCGAAGAACTTCAGCGATACAAGTCCTTTCTCAAATAAAACTAGTTTATTCTTTCTCAATTTAACTCTGCAATACACTTAATTTCCACAGTCACCTTAACTTTAACACACGCTATAATCTACAACGAACGATTCACGCCCTTTACTTCGTACCGCGCTTGACTCAATTGTCCGTCTATATCTTCAATCTCTAATTCTGCTATACAATCCCGATTAATTGTCTGGCGCACTTATATATAAAAATAGAGGGCGCCTAGCAAATACTGGATTATTCGTGATGTTCCTGGAGCCTTCTAGAAACTCAACACGTGTTACCAGCGTCATGTGACTTCCGCTGTCGTAACAGTATTTTGAAAACTGCTGGTGACTACCCCTTCTATAGTGATGTAGAGTTTTGTTTTTTTATATTCTCGATTATTTAGTTTCTGCACAGTCATGACAACAAAACGAGATTCAGAGAATTGCTAACATTATCTTGTTTTAGTTGCTTCTCCTTTTGTTCTATCTAATAGATGAAGTTTCCTCTGTTTGAACAGATGCTTCAGTATTTTAGTCCTGTAATATGTTTAACTTGTATTTCTATGTTAAACAGTATTGTTACGTATCTGCTTGTTTGTTAATTTCCCGTAGAAATTATTTCCGAGAAACTTCAGCGATACAAGTCCCTTCTT